ATACAACAATAGTTACCATTCGAGCATCAAGGTGGCTCCTTTCGAAGCACTTTACGGGCGTAAATGTAGATCACCGTTATGTTGGGCTGAAGTAGGTGACACCCAGCTAGCAAAAATGCATGCGTCGGACAAAACACTAACGGGACCTGAGATCATTCGCGAAACCACGGAAAAGATCGTTCAAATCAGGGCTCGACTGCAAGCATCGCGTGACCGACAAAAGAGCTACGCTGACAAACGACGAAAACCCTTAGAATTTCAGGTCGGTGATCGAGTACTGTTAAAAGTCTCGCCCTGGAAGGGGGTTATACGTTTCGGGAAAAGGGGAAAGCTGAATCCGCGATACATTGGACCTTTCGAAATCATCGCTCGAATTGGTCCGGTAGCATATAGACTACAACTACCCGCAGAGCTAAATGGTGTACACCCCGTGTTTCATGTCTCTAATCTGAAGAAGTGCCTATCAGATGAAACCCTTGTCATTCCTCTTGACGAAATCGAAATCAATGAGAATCTCCTGTTCGTCGAAGAACCCATCGAAATCATGGACAGGGAGGTGAAGCGTACTAAGCAGAGTCGCATCCCGATTGTGAAGGTACGGTGGAACGCAAAGCGTGGGCCAGAATTCACATGGGAACGCGAAGACCAAATGAAGCAGAAGTACCCTCACCTATTCTAGCATTCTCAAATCTAGCTTTCAAACAGAATTTCGGGACGAAATTCCCTCTAACGGGGGGATGATGTCACAACTGGAAATTTTGTGTCATGTAATCCATACATTCAAACTAATGTGAATCAAAAACTTCAATCAAATACTTCCTGCAAGTACTACAAATAGTCACCAAACAATTGGAAACCCTAGAAGTCCTTGTTTAAGTCCACTTTGGACTAGGACTCTCTTATTGGATCCAAATGGACCAATAAGCCTCCAATAAGACTATCATGGACTTAGAACTCTAATTGGGCTCTAATTGGACCCACATTCATTTATTTCAATATTTTGGGCTAGGTAGAACCTAGAATGAAATAAATCACAAGCTTTGATCCATAATTTAACCTAACCTAGCTTAATGAAGCATAAAAATCACAATTTTATTTTATAAGGCCAATAAGCACCCCAAACTACCTCTAATGTTGGGCTTAGGGGCAAAAAGCCCAAAAATCCTTTCTTCTCTCCCCATTCTCGGCCCAAGCCCAAGGAAAAAGGGAGAGTTGACCTTGGGTTGCCACCTCATTTTTACCCATAGGATCTCCATGCAAAATCTCATTCATCCATGCAAGCATCACCTCAAGGTCTTTTCTTCCTTCTCTCTCTCCCTCTCCCTTCTTGTTTCGGCCGAGGATAACCAACACACACACACACCTCACAAATTCTCTCAAAATTCTCTCAAGAAACTCTCTCCTTCCTCTCCAAAAATTTCGAGAATTCTAAGAGGATTTCAAGGGGATTTTTGCAAGATTAACATCATCTAAGGTAAGATTATGCATGGATCTATGATTTATATTCTTTTTTCTATCAAATCCCTTCCTAATCCATGCAAAAACCGTGATTTTGCACCTTAGAAAGCTTCATAAACTCGAAAACTTCATCAAGGGTGCTAAGGCCAAAAATCACCAAACTTTCTTCTATTCTTTCTTCAAAAACCGAACCAACACCCAAGGTGAGTTTCATATCCCCTTATTTTCGATTTTTATGAGTTTTTATGGGGGAGAATACAAGAAAATGTGAAGATCCATCATTATGTGTATGTTGTGGTTGATTTCTATGCTTACATGTATGTTTTGTATGATTTTATTGATAGATCTAGGGTGATATGCTAAAAACCGAGACATACATTTTATCATAGCACAAAATAGACTATCACATGCAAAGTATACTAAGAAATGGCTAAATAGCTTAACAACACTTAACTTGGGCTAAAAACTCATTTTTTTGACATAAAATGTTGAAAATGCAAAGTTGAAGGGCCTAATATGAAACATTTCGAAATCTGATGGGTGAGATGAACCAAAACAGTTTACATAATGTATTTTTCTGAAAATATGCTATTTAGAGGGTTAAAAACATAAATTCCAAGCTTATTGGGCTAAATATGACATTTTCGGCCCAATAGGCGAAATTTCCTAAATTGGAGGGCCAAAACTGCATTTTTCTGTAAAACAGTGGACTATAAGTGTTCCATATGCTTTTCAAAGGTTTAAAATGCTTTCCAAATTTAAAAGGGACCAAAATTGTAAAATTTTTCCAAATTGGGTCAAAAATGTAAAAGTTGCGAAAAATAGGGGCTATAACCGAGAAAACTGAAGTTTCAAGGGCTTAAACTGTTTTCTATGATAAGTTTGCTGGAAAATACTTATTTCAATAATTTTTGGTATAAAAATGTCAAGAAAATTGATTTAAGGACCAAACCGGAAAGTTTTTAAATAAAGGGGTAAAAAGAGTAAATTCTTCAATTAAGGAGGGGCTGAAAACAGAAAATCTTCAAGGCTAGTTAATATATGCAATTTGACCAATTGATGGTAACACGCTTGTCGACGAAATACAATATACTACAATACCAAAAGTCGTTGTCAAACGAATTGGTTCGGTCTCGAACCAATAAAAATCCAAAATCACTAACACGACGAAGCTACGACATTTCGATTCATAACCATAACGATTACGATTACATGCGAGTGTGCACAGACGTCTACGCACCATCTTTGGGCCCCAAAAGTGTAAAATCTTGTCTGTTGAGCCTAGCTAGCCCAACGACCTGATCTTAAGGCCCGAAGGTCTCTCTCTCTTACGAAGTGTTGGGTTTTACCGACCCTACATAACGTAAAAGGACTTTCAATGGCAAACATGCTGCTGGTCCCCAAGGGTCCTTCAGTGCTGCTAGTAAAGTCTGTAACTCACGATTGCGAGTTGGGCTTCGGGCCCTTCGCAATTGCATTTGGTCTCGGAACGACGCGGGGAAACCGAAGGTTTCGTACCTTCTCCCTTCCCTCCGGTCGTGGGACTTTACAAGTCCGGGAGGATCGAGTCGCGTGAAGATTTACGAGTGACGCCTAAAAGGATCACTTGTAAGGTTGTTGACTTGACGTTTTCACTAACGCATGTCCCAACACTTCACCACTCTCTGTATTCTCGATGCCTCCGGAATACAACGATACAATGATAGGAAAACGTCGGGTTTTCCTAGGATTTCAATAACGATTACGAATTTCCGGTCGAATTTCACAACTCTTACGCTTACATCTATAGAATTCAAACAAGCATACTCATGGATCATCTCTTATTTTTGTTACACTATTCTATTTCTAGAAAATATCGGATTTTCTAAAGGTTTTCAAACAACACATTGGATTTCAAACTCTACTTATGAACTCACCAACATTTCATATGTTGACGTTTTTCAAAATACTTGTATTCTCAGGTAACAGATAAAGTGAAGATGATTTGTACTTTCTGACGTTTTGCTGTGGCTTAAGTAGCATCAATCAGTTATTTTCTTTGAATGTAATTTTTGAACAATGTAATGAATGTAAACGTTACCAGTTGTATCATTTCCAAATGTTGGTGATGTATAATGTTATGTTTCATGTATATGCATTGTTATGGTATTCAATGAGTCACGATAGCCCCCGGACGTTTCCGCCGTCTGGTTCGGGGGTGTGACAGGTTCATACCATAGGAGGGTTCCACTCCTCGCAACCCTAGTGGGATAAGTGTTTGTTGTGTACAACTTTGGGCCTAACGACCAACATCCTACTTTAAACATTTATCCATTCGAAATTACAATTCAAGTTTCGTCACTTCAATCAGGTTATCAATTCGCATCACCAAATTCTAAGTCACACTTAACATCATTCAATTTCGAACACTGGACCTTGGACTTCTTAATGCCATATATAATTTACCTATGATGTATTGTATTTATATTTTCATGATTTTTATCGTTTTAATTCAGTTTTACACGAAAAACGTACTAGAACCAATAAAAATTAGAAACCATGCCACCATTATTATTATTATTATTATTATTATTATTATTATTATTATTCCAGTTAATAAGAACATCTCTAGTGGTAAATTATGTTATGACTCGAAATAATTTTCACGTCCATTCCACTAATTTTAACCTCTAATTAATAACTTTGTCATCATTCCACTAATTTTAACCTCTAATTAAATGATTTTTCCAATGGTTATCTTTTTCTCAATATATATATATATATATATATATATATATATATATATATATAATTTATCACTATATATCTAAATTATTCAATAACCAAATATTTGGTCAACTTTCTTTTAACTGTCAGAACACCTGTTAAACTTAAAGTTATGTGTGATGTATCGGATATACATTATAGGATTTCTCCATTACCTAAAGGAAGACAATCACCTTTTGTTTCTCACAATCACATATTAAATAAAGTCGATCATATTGCGATATTTGGGTCCCTATAGAGATAAATATTTTGCCATTATTGTTTTTTTTTTTAACATCGGAAACATATAAACAAATTGATCTAGTAAGGAATTAGAGAAAAAAAAGTTACACATACTTAAAGCTGAAGGTGGATTGCACAACACCTATCCCGATGCATTTTCCTCTCTTATTACTAATCCAAAAGAAATCCAAAAAAAAAAAGACATGACACAATATCATCAGAAATATCTTTTTTCCGCATCAAAACACATTTTTTTCGACGCATCTAAAAAAAGTCATTTCAGACGAAAAGACAAAGCTAGAAATCGATTGCACTGCAGGACACGAAACATTCCATCAAACATCAATCCAACTCCATAAAGACGTGATTGAGGGACAATAAGTGAACACATAATATGATACTCTCTCAAATCCCCTCACAAAAAGGGCCAAGAATAAAAGGAAGATCAACCTATATCACTTAGATTTAACTAGATGGAAATCCGATCTAAAGAAATGCACATCAAAGTATATCACACTAAAAAAGTTGATTACTTGATCATCACAAATAATCAACCAAAACGCATTCAAACACTCCTACAACAAATGAGTATTAGGTTCTATTTATTCAATTCTAAAACACACATCAAAGATACACCTATCTGCAAATATATGTTGTTAACTTAAAATGTTATTATGTGATCCTTACATAAGTAATAAGTAGTTATATCCATACATCATATTAAACAAAACACACATCCACAATTGCAATAGACACATATTTGTCATCCTATCATTTATTTAATTATCGATATCAACCTTCAAGATTCATATATCATATCATATGCTGGAGAGCTGAGCAGAGTTGTTAGCAATGGCACCTGCTTCTGTCAGCATAGGCACCAGTTTCCCAGCTCTATGCTTCTCCATAACAGCTGCAATACAAGCAAAACCAGATCAACACCAATCACCACACCAAAAACCAACATGAAAAAAGTTGAAGAAATTAAACACTCACCATCTGAACCACCGATGTGCTGCCCACCGATGAACACATTTGGTACAGTTGTCTGTTTGGTCCACTCTGCTAGAGCTGATTGAATTTCACTGCCATCACCTTCCAAAATCATCAAAGTCAACTTCTTGAACTGTTCTTGGTTAGGAAGAAAATGATGGGAGAAAGTTTAAAGTTGAAACTTACTTTCTTCATCCAATTCCAGAAGCTTGTAAGATACATTAAGCTCTTTGAACAGCTGTTTCACCCTCTTGCAGTATCCACAGTATGTTTTGCTGCCAAAAATCACCAAATTTCATCAAATTCCACTTTGCTACGACTAATTTTTTACTTAAATCGACAGTAATCACCTAAGTAACGAAAGAGATAACGTGATTTCGATTGTTAATGAATTTCTTAGTAATTAGAATAAGAACTTATTACGACGAAGATCAAAAGGCACAAAATACTTGAAAATGGGTCAGAAACACAATTTCCAAGTATCGGAAGGAAGAAATTAACGAAGGCAAACCTGAAGACGACGACGGGATTCGAGGAGACGACTTCTTTAACTTTGGAAAGAGCCATTTCGATTTCTTCTCTGGATTTGTGTCCTCCGCTCCAAATCGTTCCCATTTTATGCCCTAATTCTTGCTTGTTTTTCAAGCCACCAGAGATAGCAGGTGTATGAGGCCGGCTTTTGCTTAGTGTATTCACACCATATCCACGTGGCAATCGACATAAGATATTGCCGATTCTGACACGACGTCGTGCAGCAATAAAGCAAATTACCACTTTCGTCCTCCATTTATACGTGTAGGCTGATGTTATGGTTATTAATCGTCAATTTTTTGAAAATGTTTGTAAAATAATAATTAAATTGTAGCTAAATATATAACATGCCCCATATAATAATCAAAATGCATGCATGCCAGATTGCCAGCGAAATGTGTTAGTAATATATTACCTATGACGTGCATTTCTGTTCAAGTACTCGTTACAAATCATTTTATATGTTACTTGATGTTCTTTTGAAAAAGAGTAAATTACATTTTTGTTTTCATATAGTCAACTCTACGTTTTTTAATTAACATCCTTGTAGTTTGTTTCCGCTTGGTAATGACACCAACTAAAATACCCTTATTAGTTTTATTTTTGTTTTTTCTGTTTTAAATCATTTAAGTTTTCTAATAATTTTTCTCATAATCATAAACTTCTCTCACCACCGTTATGGTGTTCAGATTAGGTGTCTGTAAGAAATAAGGATGAGCATATGACGACATTACTATAGACTCAAGAATCCCAAATATTGAAATAGATGAGAAAGTGATACAAAATACCAAACCAAGCAAACATTATCAATATCATATCGAAAATAATACTAGTTTTCTGTACTAGCATTGGTACCGATAAAATATCAGTATGTGATCGGAATTCGGTACCAATTGCTAATCCTTAGCTGGAAAAAGAAAAAGTTTGTTTGGAAACATGAACTTTTAGCTTTTCGAAACTTTTGGTTTTTAGTTTTCAACTAATTTTATATATTTAAAAGTTGATAATTATTTTCGTCAAATACTTCTACATAAATAAATACTACAACCACCAACTACCAATTATTTTTTGTCAAATGTGCCCATAACATGTAAATCATCAAACAACTTCTAAACTTGTGGATGTATCTACTATCTACTACACATTTGACCTACCAAATGCAAGCATGCATCGTTGTTTGTTGTATACTCAACAACCTATAAGAACATATGGTATGGGCAACTTGAAGTGATGTTATAACAAGAAACAACAAGATGAGAGGGTGGTGTTAATGGTGTTATAACACCATGTTAAGAGGAGAGAGATAGAGAGAGAGATGATTTGGCACCCAATAGGTGATCACGTTTCTTTTTGTCATGGAGACAACAAGAAGCACTACAACAAGATGTAACAAGGAGGGGCGGTGTTTTTAATGTTATAACGGCGTTATGGGCTGCCAACCCAGCCACAACAAGAAACAACACGATCCACATCGTATGCTCTAATCCTACTAAATCTTTGTCCCTCAAAAAATCATTTGCTGCTTGATCATCAAGATTTTAGTATGTGTCTAAAATTTCCCGTGGATTAATTTGATTTTGCCTTTTGCGTGATCATTAAATCATTGATCACGGCGTAACCATATATCATAATATGGTAGATTCTTTGTTGGAACCAGAAGTAGAAGTACTAGTTTTGAGGTATTGATGATCGATCTTAACAAGAAGGGGATTAGTGGTAGTTATCATGGAATGCGAGTTAGGGTTATGATTATCCCTTCTCATTTCAATGGATGATGATTCTCTGAGAGATAATTGTAATTATAATTTTGAAACTTATGTTTGATTCACTTGTGAATAAAGTTTGGAGAAGACATTGATGGTTGGTCAACAATTATGGGTTTACCATCAAACCATCAAACAAAACTTTAGAAATGATATTTATAAATCTTTATAAAAATGGTCATCTAAGTAAATTATTGTTCAAGATATGCAATATAATTGAACCATATTCATTTTCAACCCTCACACCCTCTCAACTTTCAACTAATTAATAACAACCATATAGAGGTTTTTAATTTATATCTTATAATTAATAACTAAATGAATTTTCATATTCCTAAAATTAATGTCATTTACGACCTTTTATTCCCATTTGTTGTGATATGTTGTACGAACTTAACTCTGTCTCTATAGGTGTCTTGGTGGGGCTAAGCCTGAGAATCACAACACATAAGGAAAGACCGTTAGACGTCGTCCGGGGAAGACTCCCGGAACGAAGCTCCGATGGTCTAGTCGGTAACCAAATGAGAGAATCTGAGTTCTATTGGAAAAAAATAGAGAGAAAGGCAATCCCTTCTCTTGGAGGAGAAAGGTTCTAATTATACCTGTTGTTGGGGAGACAAAACCCCGACAATACCTTTTTGTCTCTTTAGAGCCGATAGGACATGGGGGCACTCGTCGCTCTGGGAAGCGGCTGATTCTGTTTTGTCTTGGAGTTGACTTTGTTGCTTAGGCACCAATGGATCAATTCGGGGCCACGAGGGCGAAGGCCCAACCTCGGTGTTAAACATATGATGGCCATTGACCAGGTCGACTTTAATGGTTCTGTTGTATTTGACATATTTCTAAAGGGATATATTAACACCACCATTTATACATTTTAGCCATGTCTATGCTATATTATATTCTATACTATAAATGAGGTAATTCAAAATCATATGTTATCTTAAACCATATTGATTCGAAATCTATATCATTTTACATTCCATAAATTAATGAAAATTATTACAATAGTTATGAATTTTCAATCACTTTTTATATTCATGTTTATACATTTTGTCACTATACAAAGTGTCGATCATTTTAGTAAACACACCTACACTCATATCACATACATAATTTAGAGTGAATACAGAGATAAAAAAACAATAGATCAACAAGCTTGAAGTTTTTGAAGTGTTGAATAATAAAAAAATTGAAGGATTGTGAGATTATGTTGGTGCTATGATATTTTCATTAAGGAAAAGTTATTAAATACGATAATAATATCGGGTCATCGAAACAAATACATGAACTTTCATCTTAAGATTCGTTCAAGATTCAGTATTTTGTGTATATAAATGATCAATATATTTGTTCATCGGAATGGAGGTTTGAGTAATCAAGTAATATGAAGACATTATTATTTTCTTATTCATAACATAAAAGTTAAAGTCACTAATATTTATAAACCGAAGGCGAACTATAAAAAACTTGAAAAGAATTTACAAAATGACCAAATACTTATCGGTTTGTTATCTAAGTCTAACATACATAATTTTGATTGTCCCCGTTATAGTTGCATCAGTAGAAATAAACTTTTCAAAACTAAAAATTTTAAAATCTTATTTGCGATCTATCATATCTCAATGGAAATTAAACATTCTGGCTTTGATTTGAATTAAGAATAAATTTCTTAAAAACATTGATTATGAAAATATAATAGATGAATTTGTTTCTAAAATACTAGAAGATTGTTGCATAAAAATTTAACCCAAAAGAACCAAACAATGATTAGACAACTCAATAATTACATAATGATAATCTCTAATTAGTTTTAAACAATGATTATATAATGATTATTTATTGTGTATTTTGTTTTTATCTTTTTTTCCTATTCTTTTTTATTATTTGTTACATTGTCGTTATAATTTGAGACTTAAAAAATAGAATGATGTTTAATTTCAATACACTTTTTATTGTCGTAATTCAAATAATTTAATGTTTACTTGGTCATTTTCATAAATAAATTATATTAAAAGGGTTATTAAAATGACGTTTAACTTGTATGGGCTTTTTTTTTTATTAATAAACAATCAATTTATTGTTACAAAAAAATACCGATAGCATTTTCAACTAACGTAAACACTTGACAAATTAAAAAAAGAGTAAATTACATGAATGGTCCCTATGGTTTAGGGTAATTTGCACGTTTGGTCCCTAACTTATTTTTTTAACTCGGAAGGCACCTACTGTTTGTTTTTGTTACGCGGTTGGTCCCTATCTTACATAAAAAGACTATTATGCCCTTGATTTTTTTAATTTATCTAAATAAAGACACCCCTAATCCCACCCCCTCACCTTACCTCACCTACCCCATCATTTTTTCCTTTTTAAATAATAGTCTTTTTAGATAAGATAGGGACCAAACACGTAACTAAAATAAACAGTAGGTACCAAATGCGTAACAAAAACAAACCATAGGGACCTTCCGAGTTAAAAAAATAAGTTAGGAACCAAGCACGCAAATTGCCCCAAACCATAGGGACCATTCATGTAATTTACTCTTAAAAAAATTACGATATACGTTAGTTAAGTTATTAAATTAGCAAATGGTTAATTTTTTTTTTTTTTAATTTATATTTTATCTCAATTTAAACTCATTCTAATAAAAAATAACACATATTCCACAGTTAGTCATGTTATGGATAGTGATACCGGGAATATTATGCTTTGCGTTCATCAACTACTAAAGGAGAAAAAATAAAGGAAAATAAAAAATTAACAAAATTACGAAAAAAGAATAGATATATAAAGAATAATAATATAATATCAATATATATAAGAAAAAATATTTTTGGAAACTATAAGAACTATTTTTTCAGTTATCTCTAATATATATGAAAAAATATTTTGTTTTTTTCCTTATCCTTTTAAATTATATCTATTTAAATTATGTCAATTATGATTTCATTTTTCTTAATAATATTTTAAGATATTTGTTATAATTATATATGGAAAAAATAAATAGATATTTAACTTTTATTTGGGTAAATTACACCGATCATCCCTCGTGCATATGTCAGAAAGCACGTTTAGTCCCTATTTTCAAAAATTAACTCGGATCGTCCCTCATATCGTTAAAAGGTGCATGTTTCGTCCCTCGCATACATAAAATGACTATCTTGCCCTTTTCTTTTTCTTTTTCATTTATTTTTTATTTGTTTATAATTTATCTACTATTTTTTAACTATAACTTTTAGAAAATAAAATTTCCTTTTAAATCAGTTCCAACCCCTCTGATCGTTAACCACCTCCTACCACCAGTCACTTCCAACCACCAACCACCTTCTACCACCTGTCATCTCTGGCCACAAGCCAACACCGACAAACATCACCATTCATCTCTGAAAAAAAAGTACTGGAATTAAACCCTAAAATCAAACCCAAATCCATACACTTGATATATAAATCAGTTAAACGAAGAACAAAGATGAGAGGACACGAGGAAGATCATGTTCGGACTCAAACTCTTCAACCCCTTATCCTACCACTGCCATGAAACCTGCGACTCCATTTGGTTTCTCCCCCAAACTCGTTTGAAAAAAAAATACTAACGATTGTTTTAATGAGGAGAATTGATTCGATTTATTCAAACCTCGTTCTTCTTTCGCTAGATGTCGTTGTTCCCCTCCCTCTCATTCTGCTCCGTCTCGAAACACTAAGAGGTACGATTTGTAAGATGATGGTGTAGATCTGAGACATTGGTGCAAAGATGGTGGTCCTCTGGCTCTCTCCATTACAATATTACGAAGACAACAATGATTTTCAGGTGCAAGGGTTTCAGCCGAAGAGGTGGTGGTGATGGATTACAAGTAACGATCAGCATTTCAAGGGGCGATGACGATGTTGGAAATGGTTTCAGAGGTCGATGGATGTAGAGAGAAGGTTAATTGAAGGTTACAGGCAGTGATAGGAATAGCCACCTGAGGGAGTTGTCGCCGGAGGGAGTAACTGTCGATGATGGTTTAAGGAGGGTAGTTTTGGGTTCTTGGAAGACGTTAGAGATGAGAGGAAGAGAGATATGGACGATAAGGTCGGTGGGAAGGTAGGGTAGATGGCTTTTTTTCTTTTTTAAATTATTAATAATATTAATAACATTAAATTTATTGGAAAATAAATACACTAAGGGTATTATAGTCATTTCAAATCAGATAGAGACTACACCTGCAACAAAATCATTTGTTAGGGACGAATCGTGCAACTTTTAATCAAATGAGGACGGTCCGAGTTAATTTTTGAAAATAGGGACTCAACGTGCTTTCTAGCACCTCCACGAGATGGTGTAATTTACCCCTTTTATTTCTCTATGCATAAAGTTAAGAATCGTTGCTTGTAAGAAATTCATATATTTTCAACATGCTCATCAAATTCTCTTTCATCATTAAATCGTATTTACAGACTAATTAAGCTTATGAATGATGCATAAAATCACTCACTTGGAACCAAAAAGGGCTTCAAAATCTTTATACATCCCTTTTGATTTCGATTTCGAATCCATGGATGTAGCCTGTGACGAACTCCCACTTCTCTTCCCACTCCAAAACCCACTCCATTTTGGTCGACTACACGAAGGATCCGTCTGCGGTGTTCCACTGCTCCCTTCTCTACTAAAACTAGACTTCGCCAAATCTCTCAGCTGCTTCATCCATGGCCGATCCGGTGTACCGGAGGAGCTTCTAAACCTCGCAACCGCCACCGCCGCCTGCGATTTCAATGGGAATCGGCTCTCGATGTTTTTCATAAACTTAATCGGTACAAAAAGCAGAAGAATCCCCCACGATGCTATTTTCAAACCTAGATAGAGAGATTTGTTATTGGGATCAAGCTGTTTTAACTGACAGATCAAAGCGTTCCATTCGTTCAGAATCTGCGCCACGAAAGCGAACAAGAACAGGCAAAGCATGGCGATCCCGATCTTCATCTGTTCGTGTGTAGAAAAATCGTTCCTCAAAAGAACCAAACAAATCGCAAAAATCGCAAGTTGACTCGAAACTGAAATTATCTCCACCAATTGAACCTTCTTCTTAATGAACGGCTTCTTGAGGACCATGAAGAACAATTGAAACGAAGTGACACATATCAACGTTTTCGTCGGTGTTTCGGAGTATCCTCCTCTCGAAAAGGTACCCACAAGGATTCCTAAAGTAACTCGTTTAATCGATTCGAGGAAAATGTAATAGATTCTTAGAATTCCAAATACCTTTTGGACAAACGGTGCTTCTGCGTCTTCGTTTTCGTCGTCTGATGCGATGATACTGCCTCCGGTTGTGCGATAATCCACTCCTCCGGTGATTTGAGAGAGCATGTATTTGGGTGGACCTCTTAGATCTTCGAAAAGAGGGCCTAAAATTGATAGCCATTTGGAATTTGTTGTGTTGATCCATGTCCATTGGCCTCTTTTTCCAGGACCCAAAGTTACCTTTACTAGTGATTGATACCAATGGATATCTTGATCTTCTTGATGAACTTCTTTGTATTGAAGTAACTTCCCGAATGATATTCCCACAGAAAGGAACAGAAACAATGCGAGTATAAGGAAAAGCACAGATCCTAAAAGAAGAACTCCCACTGAAATCCCTGAAGCTGATCCACCTGAAAAAAAAAAGGCATTTAAATTTTGAAAAATAATAGGTTTGACCTTAAAAGTCAAAGCTTTATACTATATATAATATACCTTTGAGTAGAGCTGCTGAAGCTGCAGAAACACAAGGGACTGCAAGAATGACTAGAAAGATTTCAAATCTTGGGAAAACGATTGAGATGTAATTGTTTTCTTTTTCTTTCTTCTTTCTAAGTTTTAGTAAAAGAAGGATCAGTATATGCAGAATAATCAAGCCTCCACTGATGATCGCTAGCCAAAACATGCTCCGATTGAAATCCCTCCACCTGCATGACAGAACTTAGTTTTATTAAAATAATTCTAAAAATTGTAAACTTGCAAAAAAAAAAAAAAAAAAAAAGTTTTGGAGAAAAGATATAGAATGGAAAAGTTACCCATTGGAATCATTGGGATCCATAATGTATTCAGCCTCAGGTATGGCATTTTGGCTCTAATTAAAGAAACAATTGTCAGAAAACTAGTAAAAAAAGAACACTGGCAGTAGTTATTTTACAAAATTGCAGTCTACTGACCTCAAAAAACGACTTATA